TCAATTTTACCACTTGCTGACGCAGGTGGTTCTTCGACTCTACCAAGATGGCACACAGATGAATTTCGTCCCACTGGGCCCGAGGCCAACTCCACCTTTGTAACACTGTAATAACCAGCATATCATGAGTCTGTAGCACCGGCGGATGTGAGGGAGATAGGCAGAGCGAGGTGCGATCGCGAGGAGACGTTGCATAACAAAGGTAAGTCGACTCCAGAGAAAAGCCAAATTTCTGATCTTTTTTTGCAGTATGCTGCTTAACTAGAAACGTTGCCAAGTTCAATGCATTCTAAATATCGCCGGACAACACTTCTTAAAAGAGAGGTTGCGCAGGACCACGCCCCGCCGGCTGATTTTGGGCGGTAAGCTGCCATGCAGCTGCCACCAAATCTTGCACCGATTAGCTTTACCCAATAATTACTGCTGGTCCCAACCAGCAAGATAAAATCTTTGATATTGCCACATGTGGCCTCCACAAAGGGAACCCTCTCTGTCCCACCAATGATGGGCTGTTTTCTAGACCCCATGGATCGCTAGACCAACAGACCTACACCGGATCTTGAGCATGAGAGGGGGCTGTCGTAGGACTGGATAACAAGCGGGCCCAGTTCGTGGTAACCTTGCGCTGCACAGGAGTGTGGCCTAAAACAAGAAACAGGGTCAGTATTTCCTATTTTTCTCTTTTCATGTTTTATTAAACAACATTTCAGTGAATTCAGTAGACCAATTAAGTGCCCAGAGCTCCCATTCGCAAATTTCGTCTCGCCACCACGCTTTCTCTTCTAAAGGCCATTTAGCACAAAAATGACACCGTTTGAAACCCGTATTACAGCAGGTTTAGGAGCATGATATGTCCCAATTCTTGTCGATCACTGCCCACAGTCAAGATACTTTGGAGTTACTCAGCAATCCTGTCCCCTGAACTGAAGCGCCATGTGTCCTCTCTCTGAGATGGTTCCGTCTCAGAAAAGACAATTGGAACGCGCATGTTCACCTTATGGACATATATACGGCTCCCCGGTCCACACTCCATATCCCCTTCCTTCATTTCCAGATAACTTTTTCTCTCTCAACTTCACCACCACCACCACCTTCAGACATGAATCCCTCAGACCGTGAAGGCAGTGATTTTTATCAATCTGAAGGTGACTGGCACACATGACACATATGCCCGTACTGACAATAAAACATTCCCGTCTCAGAATTCTACGATGAATATTCGCCCTCAAGCTTGGACTTCTCTATCGCTGGACCCTCTGAGACAGGGATTCCTACCCAAGGTTTCGTCGACGAGCGTAGCGCCGAGGGGCTCCCTAACTGGCTATTATCCGTGATGGCCGCTTCTCAACCAGACATCGGATACCTCCGTACCGTATCCATGACTCAAACAGTATCACATGATTGGGATTCCGTGGACCTTTCTCCCCTTCCAGTCGCAGGCCCTAGTGATTTGTTATACCCGCCGCAACTTTCCCAAACGCATCTTGACTTATTAACCCAAGAAGAGAGTGGTGAAGTTGAGAGAGAAAAAGTTATCTGGAAATGAAGGAAGGGGATATGGAGTGTGGACCGGGGAGCCGTATATATGTCCATAAGGTGAACATGCGCGTTCCAATTGTCTTTTCTGAGACGGAACCATCTCAGAGAGAGGACACATGGCGCTTCAGTTCAGGGGACAGGATTGCTGAGTAACTCCAAAGTATCTTGACTGTGGGCAGTGATCGACAAGAATTGGGACATATCATGCTCCTAAACCTGCTGTAATACGGGTTTCAAACGGTGTCATTTTTGTGCTAAATGGCCTTTAGAAGAGAAAGCGTGGTGGCGAGACGAAATTTGCGAATGGGAGCTCTGGGCACTTAATTGGTCTACTGAATTCACTGAAATGTTGTTTAATAAAACATGAAAAGAGAAAAATAGGAAATACTGACCCTGTTTCTTGTTTTAGGCCACACTCCTGTGCAGCGCAAGGTTACCACGAACTGGGCCCGCTTGTTATCCAGTCCTACGACAGCCCCCTCTCATGCTCAAGATCCGGTGTAGGTCTGTTGGTCTAGCGATCCATGGGGTCTAGAAAACAGCCCATCATTGGTGGGACAGAGAGGGTTCCCTTTGTGGAGGCCACATGTGGCAATATCAAAGATTTTATCTTGCTGGTTGGGACCAGCAGTAATTATTGGGTAAAGCTAATCGGTGCAAGATTTGGTGGCAGCTGCATGGCAGCTTACCGCCCAAAATCAGCCGGCGGGGCGTGGTCCTGCGCAACCTCTCTTTTAAGAAGTGTTGTCCGGCGATATTTAGAATGCATTGAACTTGGCAACGTTTCTAGTTAAGCAGCATACTGCAAAAAAAGATCAGAAATTTGGCTTTTCTCTGGAGTCGACTTACCTTTGTTATGCAACGTCTCCTCGCGATCGCACCTCGCTCTGCCTATCTCCCTCACATCCGCCGGTGCTACAGACTCATGATATGCTGGTTATTACAGTGTTACAAAGGTGGAGTTGGCCTCGGGCCCAGTGGGACGAAATTCATCTGTGTGCCATCTTGGTAGAGTCGAAGAACCACCTGCGTCAGCAAGTGGTAAAATTGA